TAACTGCTGCGGCCAGCGGGATATTTCCTTTGTTATATTTCCTTTGTTGTCAATGTACATGGTCATGAGGCCTCAGAATACCTACCAAGGATTAAGTATAATGAGTATAATTAGGCAAGAAAAGTTGTCTAATTTCTTTGTAAGCCAGAAGAGGTCACTTTTTTCCACTAAAAAGGGAAGTTTGTGCTTAAAATTATTATTGTTTCGTAAATCAACTCAAACCCATTTCATTTAGTTTCCCGACAAAAGAAGATGTAAAATAACCACAAGACTGTTTCACATACCAGGTACAATAACCCAGGCCCTACGTTATCTAGCTTGCTCCTTTTTAGAGTTACTATTTTGGGGGGAAGGAAATAAAACTGAAATGTTTTAACAGAGTAGATCTAGGTTTAAATACACAAATCTGCTACGTCTGCCGCATCTCCAAGGCAATGGAGCAATAAAAGAATAAATCCAGTATATCCGTCAAACAGGCTGGAAAGTCAATTCTGGGGATTGCAAAGGAGGGCACCTCCTGAGGAAGAGGAAAAGAAGCATGAACAAGAGGCTTATCTGAAAGCTGATTGATGAAGGAGTAGGGCTGTGTAGTAGTTGTGTATGGGGGAAGGACAATCGTGAGAAACGACAATGAAAACACCCTCACAAGCATCCTGAACCTCCAAGCACTTCAATAAGGCCACCCAGATTGCACCATAATGTTTACTGTGGAAAGGAAAAAAATATTAATTGTAAAGAAATAAGAATCAAAACTAGACCCAATTATACTGGCTATCCATCAGCTAAACTGTGGACAGGGAAAGAATGATCTAGGATACTGCTTCACAATGCAAACACTAGTAGGAACATGACTAAGGGTCGGAGTTAACCTGCACTGGGAATAAATCGTTCTTGGCTGACTAAAATCTGGACAATTCAGATAATGTACTTAACAAATAGCAAGTGGCATCTTCTGCTTCCTGAACGATCTGAATCAGAATCCAACAGGGATGCAACTACATGTAAACCTTTGTTCTTAAAAGAATTCCAAAGGAATAGCTCTAAGCAGTTGGTTCTGACAGCTAATTTAGAAGCAAACTAACTGAGGTTACTGTGGGAAATATTTTATCAAATACTTAAGAGCACATGAAGTAATCAGAAGAGGGTGAAAAAACATATTGCTTTCCAGCATGTAAGTTGTCCCGCCTCTACTGGCATACCAGGTCCTCTAAGAGGAGACTATGCAAAGTGCTACAAAATGTATTACTGCCATTTCCAACAATACAAACAGGTTGAAATTAGAAATCTTCTAATTTATCTGAACTCTTTGATCTATTATCCCTCTCTTGATTTCATGATATATTATATATGGAGATTTGAAAAACTGTATTTGATACAGATTGGTGGTGTCAAGAAATATGGGATTATCCTGTAATTGTCACTTTATCTTTAAGATTTAGTGAAACTGATTGGCATTCTGTCAGACACTTCAGGTGAAAGTTATCCAGCAATCCCCTGGTGAAATCAGACTATTACCATGCAAACAAACCGTATTCTGACACATTTGTAGACCTTGGTACTTTATACAATATTTAACACCAAAGATGTTTTAAAGGAGCATTATTAAATATGATACAATTGCTAGTGTACAGAGAAAGGACAGAGATTACTTCACTTTCCAAGATAGGGCACCTGCACAAACATTAATTATCCCAATGCAAATACTACCTAGGAAAATGCTAGTTCATATGGTAATGCAAGTTAACATCTTTACTTAGAAGACACTCAGAGATGTAAAACAAGAATATCAGAAAAAAAGGGGTTACTGATCCTAGAGACAGTATTTTGGGGGAGAGCAGCAGACGACCAGACTGAAATGGGATAGAGAAATTGAGAAGTACAGAACTCTAGAAATAACGACGTCATATTTACAGTCTTTCTGTACTTCTGATGGAGTAAAACATTTAAGCTTAAGAACAGCCTCACTGAATTCAGTTTAAACACATGTTTAAGGTGAAGTGCTTTGTTACAACTTTACAGTTTTAGGTGAAGGGGTCAGTGCTTAAGTATGGAGAAATGGTCTGAAGTAAACAGGATGAAATTCAATAAGGACAAACGCAAAGTACTCCACTTAGGAAGATACAATCTTTTGCATACATATAAAATGGAAAATGACTGCCCTAGGAAGGAGTACTGCAGAAAGCGATCTGGGGGTCATAGTGGACCACAAGCTAATTATGAGTCAACAGTGTAACACTGTTGCAAAAAAAGCAAACATAAAATTCTGGGCTGTATTAGCAGGAGTTGTGTAAGCAAGATACGAGAAGTAATTCTTCCACTCTACTCCACACTGATTAGGCCTCAACTGGAGTATTGTGTCCAGTTCTGGGTGCTACATTTCAGGAAAGATGTGGACACATTAGAGAAAGTCCAGAGAAGAGCAACAAAAATGATTAGAGGTCTAGAAAACATGACCTATGAGGGAGGATTTTAAAAATTGGGTTTGTTTAGTCTGGAAAAGAGAAGACTGAGAGGGGACATGATAACAGTTTTCAAGTACATAAAAGGTTGTTACAGGAAAAGGGAGAAAAATTGTTCTTGACCTCTGAGGATAGGACAAGAAGCAATGGGCTTAAATGGCAGCAAGGGAGGTTTAGGTTGGACATTAGGAAAAATTTCCTGTCAGGGTGGTTAAGCGCTGGAATACATTGCGTAGGGAGGTTGTGGAATCTCCATCATTGGGGATTTTTAAAGAGCAGATGAGACAAACACCTGTCAGGGGTGGTCTAGATAATACTTAGTCCTGCCATGAGTGCAGGGACTGAACTAGATGACCTCTCGAAGTCCCTTCCAGTCCTATGAATCTATGTTGTTGTACCATTCGTCTTTGTTAATTTGACCTCGGACACTTTGGGTCACAGGCCCTGCTCCTGCAAAGACGCATGCGTGTGCATAACCTGTTTCATGATCAGGGCCTAACTGAAGGCTGGTGGGAGGCATTGTGTGTGTTCCTGCTATTTATTAATATCAGGAAGGCCACCAGTATGAGTTTCAATATTAGGCCCCAATCCTACAACTACATCCAGGCAGATGGACTCCCGGGCCTGTGTACAACCCCACTGAAGTCAATGGGTCTCCATGTGGACATAGTAGCAGAATCAGGGTTTAATTACATAAATAGGTCTAGCTTAGAACAGTTTATGACAGTTCTGCCTCTGCCACCCAGAGAGTAATTAAAAAAACCCAAAGGAAAACAAACTGCCGCAATTAACAAAGATTTGGTTGTGAAAACCATAGGGAACAATGAGTCAATTCTCCAGAGAGACAAATGTTACTTGAAATAATTTTTTCAGTTAAAAAACTAATGAAAATAAAAAGAATCCACCTTCCCGAGACTATACTTAATAGCACAGATTAATCACACACATACAGCAAAGCTGGTAAATGTAATGTATTTCCACTTTGCAAATAGTCTGTTTGAGGAAGTTTTATTTTATTTGGGGTTGGATAAAAAACTACCATGTTTAGCTGTTGATTGGTATTAGTAAACTATGGTTTATGTAATAAACAGATTGATTTATACCCCCCTCCAAAAACCCCATACCATCTAATTACCTTAACTGGGATATTGTCTGACCTGAAAAAACAATGCTCTTCACATAGAGTAGGAACATAGACACTTTGAAAACTGTATATTAAAACGCTAATAGATTTTCATCACAGCCACTAATAGAATTTCATTCCTTGGGTACTAGGGCATGGGGTGCCTTAGGAATACATAGTAATAGAGCAATAATCCAATACACTGACATGCCAAACAAATGGATACTACAGTACAACCTCTCTGTCGCACTCATGATGAGAAGAGATTTTGCAGTTTAAAGAATATCGGCCCAGTCCAACTCCAATGGGACTTGTAGTGGACCCTGGGTGACTATTTAGGGATACCACATTAAACAAATGTCCTGCAGAATAAGTTTGTCCTTCTAATCAAAACATTATCTGGGTCTGTCTTAGATTATGAATTAAAAATATTGGAGTCTATTTCTAATCATTGAGTCTTCCCTCTTCATTATCAAAATTAATGACTGCATGGTGAATAAGCAGCCTATTTGGTTTTTGAATTCACAGAGCCTTCATAATAAAATTTGAAAACGTCTTTAGATATAATTAAGTTTGAGTCTAGCCGTTTTAATTATCAAAGCACTAATTAACTTTTGCCATCTTCCTATGGTATTAACTTCTCTGTTTTAATGATGGGGAAAGTGAGGCAGAAAAATTAAGTGATTTACTCAAGACTGGAAAGAATTTGTGGCAGAGTCCCTTATGCACAAAGACAATGGCAGAATGGCAAACCACACTGGATAAAACCCCACCCAAATCAAAGAGTCTCTAGGACTTAAATATATACAGAGTTCTCTCACCCACCAAGTGCGAAACATAGTCTTTATTTCCTATGTAACTGTTAACTATTTTCTGCCCTACTGTTATTCATGACCTACTAATTCTTTATATTAACGTTATCTGTAATCCCAGCAATGACCATATTATCCTACACTTTGGGCTCACAGCCCGTTTTGATTTTGTGATCTACTGTTTCTACAATATATGTTCACGTTTCAGCGAGTGCTTGAAGGGAAATATGACATCTGCACAACATCTACTCTAGGGTTTGCCTAAGAAACCCCCAAAACTAAATTAAAGCAGCTAAGAGCTCAACTGAACTGCATTCAAGCAACTGGCAGATTCTTAAAGCTAGAAAGAAGCATTCAGTAAGGCTGACCCCCTCCCCCTGCCCCCCAGCATTCGGTGAACCTCAAAGAGAGCATGAGATAGCAAGAGCACTTCATTAAAAGCGGGGTAGGCTTGTACGTTTTTTAAGAGAATGAGAGTATAACCGCTGAAAGTCATCATGAGCAGAGCACCGAGACACAAGCAGTTCATGGAAAAGAAAAATAATTTTTGGAAAGGGTTGCTTTATTATGCTCTGGTTTTGATTTGATTTTTGTTGTTCTTGTTACCTGGGGATCTGTAAATAATAGTCCTGTATCTTTGTGTTGTATTATTGCTGCGTTCCCAGGAATATTCCTTGCCAGCACTGGAACATCTAAATCCATTGCCTAAAGAATGTGGAGAAAAAACAAGATTTTGTTGGTGAGAAATAGTCATAGTATGAAACCTGCCGCAAAAACTGCTCCTTCCCACCCCCAAGTAAAAAAAAGTAAAACCCAAAAGAGGGTTCCAAGCCTGGAGGAGGGCAGCTGGCACAAGCTAATACAGCCTCTAACAGTAATTGTATCAGATTCCTCCAGTTCTTTCTAACTTTATTTTTATTGTTTGTATATAAAATATAAACTCATAATGAAAAAAATAAACTTCCATGCACACGATATAAGTAGCCTATAAATAAAATAAATTCACTGTTCATTGTTTGCAAAACCTGGAAAGAAACAAAACACAAACCAAATCCTGAACCTGGAGAGATCATGCAGGGCATCAATTATTAAAGTGACTGCATGGATAAATAAGTGAGAACATAACCTATGACTATCGGGGGGCTAATATGTACTAAACTGCAAAAGTATGCAATAGTTTCATGTGTGACAAGACATCCTCAGATTTGTTCTAAGCGTTTCTATTAGACAGAGTCATTTTTTCCATTAATGCAGTAGTAGAGATCTCACTAAGCAGGCCTGTGTATGAGGGAGGAATTGCAGATTTTCTCAAAATAACTCTTTTGGCCGCTAAAATGGTTACTGCAATCCAGGAGTTTTTGTGGGAAAGAATCTGGCCCATTCCCTCAACACCCACAGAGTCCCCAAGGGCAGGCTTTTGAGAAGTCAGGTAGCATGTTGCAGAAGCAAAAATGCCCTCCCCTTATGTGGCTGCAGACTCCCTTCTATATACGCATACATGGGGGCACATGAAGCCTCAAGATGGTTCTCATAATTTCAGGCTGTCTGTAGATTCAGGAGCATAGATACAGCACTGCACCAGTTCACTTCCAGTAAATCGTCTCCATTATAAAGAGAAGGGCTAGAAACTTTGGAACGAAAGCACAGAAACCAGTGTGTAAGCCCCAGTCACCCCAGGAAAGTCCCTGCCCACCGCCTACTCCTGCATTTGTCAAGCCCCAATGTGAAATTTTAATTACCATTCCTGGATTTGGAAATCTTGAAATTCGCAAACCCTGAATGTATAACGGTTCGTCTTGTACAATTATCACAGTGTCAAACAGAAAGAAATTCACTCTCCAAAATGTTCAATCCATTTCATACTGATTCACTGTCACTTTGGAGAGAACACATTTCTAATTACTGTCATTACAGTCTCTGATGGGGAGCAATTTTCCTTCAGCATGAGTAGCATGGGGGAAAAAAAAGCTAAGGGGGGGAAGAAATGAGGAAGAAGAACACTTCTTTTGTTTTTGAATCTGGACAAGACTTGATACCCCAACCACTAGCGTACAAAGCCAAGTGCGAGTTAAGGGTAAAGGAATTCAGTAGCCTAGCAACATGCATTCACAGTTTAAAATATCCAAGGTAAACATAGTTTACACTGTACCACTGTAGAGAAATTTGCCCTAGACATACAAATCCCGTCCTCCTCTCGATGCTAACATGCTTTTCAGCAGATAGCTCAAAAAATAATAATAATAATCCGTAATGACAGACCTGTTCTAGCCTTTATACCAGAAAATAGTGAGCCAACTGGAGGTAATTCAGAGCAACAGATTGATGAGAAGAAATTAAATGGTCTAACTAGCTTGGATAAATGAGTAAGGACCAGATTTATGTAGGGATTTAGGCACCTAGAGATGTAAACAAGTGTCTAGGGTGATTTTCAAAAGTGAAAGTCAATGGGAGTCAGGCACCTAGCCCACTTAAGTGCTTTTGAAAGTCTACAGCATTAGGTGCCTAAATACCTTTGTAAATCTTGTCCTAAGCACATATGTATTTATGGTGGGGGATATGACAACTGTCTCCAGATATGTGAACAAGGTAACCACTAGAGATGGGCTCAAGACACTGATACAGACCTAGATTGTCTAATGCCTCTGTTTTTTTATGCAGTGGCCCTCAAGGCCAGGATTCAGAAGTAAGGGACTACAGGTTGCTGCTTCTTTCAAACAACCACCTCAGCAATTAACATTTTGGAAGATGGGGGAGGGAAAGCTAGCATGATGGCAATTCCGGAAAAGCTTCCTATCCCCCGGAGAATTACAAGGCCTTAGGGAACATTGCTTTCCCACCTGGTTAGAACAGAACAAGTATCAAAAGCACTATCAACTTAAACAGACAGGCTCACAGTGAAATATGGTGGGCTCTAGAATGAATGGATGGGTTCCCTGTCTGAACTGGAAAAGTCATCTCTCAAATCTATGAAACCACCACCACAAGAGCAATATGACTAGCTGACAATGGACATATTTTAAAAATATATATAACTCTTAGGGTCCAGTTCTACACTGACTTACGCCCCATGGATTTCAGTGGGGAGATATGCACAACACATACTTGGCTCTCTGAATTTTATATTTCTCCTTCACTTTAAAAAAAATGCTATGGTACTTCAAAACTGGCTACTTCGTGTAGAATTTTTCATATTAACAAGGCTATCCTGGATGCCCCATCCAAGTGAAAAAGAGCCTTATTCAAAGAAATTATCCTTTTTTTTCAGAATTCCTCTCGGTGCTCCAGAATGGGCTGTTGTAACTGTCTGCTAGCCACTCAAGTAAATTAGACATACTGAACAAAAGGACATCACACGCCACTTGATACACGAATAATGATGAACAACTCAATTTACTAGTGCTCCATAGTAATTCTGCCTTAGGTTGAGTTTAGTGTTGCAGCCTGGTACATTTATTACAATATTGCTGCACCTCGGTCTGGGCGAGTGTGTTCCCACATTATTATGCACTTTGTCATAGCACATTTATTCATTTTTTTTCTCTGAACGCCACACAGACTGCAGCACAAAGGCCCAGATCCTCAAAGGTATTTAGGCATCTAACTCCTATTGAAATCAAAGGGATATAGGCAACTACACATTTTTGAGGATTTGGACTTTAGTTTTTATTTCATTTCTGAACCCAGTGGAGAAAGAGCTTGATGTTCTTGCTAGCTGGAGATTGAGGACGATAAACGTAACATCTGAAAAACTCTGAGGCCTGGGAATCACATAGGTATTGATGAATTACAACCACTGAAAGACAGAACAGATGGCCAACTGGATAAGACAGGAGTTGGCTTCGCACCAGCCAGTCTTACACAAATGGATGGTGCTGCAAATAATTACTGCATCAAGTAGCCTTGAATTTAATTTAGATGCTTACTCTATTTTTAAGCAGTAAAAAGAATCATTTGTATTGCTGAAAATATATATATAATTTACTGACCTGGGACCTGCCAATAACAAGTTAACGTAAAACTTTATTCTGGTGGCCCTCTGTTTTGTTACCTTATCCTGACTGCAAATATGTTTAAGAGTAATTTGAGAAGGATACAGGGTGTAAAGTTACTTTTTTAGGCATGGTACACAGTAAGCATTTCTAACTAGCAGTGCTAAGTTTGGAGGAGGGAATTGCAGTTTTTATTCATTGTATGGTTTTTTTTTCGGAGTGTCCTTCATTTTCTGCCGTATAGCCCTTTATGTTTGTGTCATTTTGGTATCCCCTCACTTTTTATCTCCTGTCCTGCAGCTTAATTTTTTCTTCCTTGGCTTTCTGTGAGTTGTTTCAAAACACCAGGTCTGGGCTTCTCATGATGGCTAAGATTGGATTTTGCACCACAATACAGTGTATTGTGTATTAGAGGGTGGACACCCATTGATTCCTCCATTTCCATGTTGTTTTCTTTAGTTGGTTTGTTGCTTTGGGGTTTTTTAATTCCAGCAAGATCTCGTGATTTTTACAACAGTTTACGTAAATTTTAGAGTGGAGGAAAGGTGCTGTGGTGAAAGATTGTTAGAGTCAAAATCTTTTGTTCAACCATTACACAGTGAGTCACTATATGGACAGTGATAATAATCAATTCCCTGCACCCTCCCAACAGTGTTTTATTTCTGATCTGTAAGAGGTCAAAGACTATTTTCTAAGCCCACATATTGCTTGTCCCTTCTTCAGTGACTGTTCAGAAGAAAAGGTGGCAATTGTGACTTTTTTGTGTGTAATCTGGATGCTAAAAACAGTTCTTAGATGACTAGATCAAACAATAAGATTTGTATGATTTCTGGTCACTTCAAACCAGAGCTAGATTTGAACCAGACATCATTTTATAGTTTGTAGGGACAACTGATGACTCATGAATAAAGTTAAGCATGTGCATAAGCATTTGCAGGATACATGACCTCGCTAAATTTTAAATTTCCCAGTAGACAGGAATTTGGTTTCTAAACCCCAGCACGTTTGTTCCATCTCTGATCGAAACATTTTTAGTTTGATTTGTCTTGTTAATAAAACAAAACCTTGACAGATGGCTCTTCCTATTAGCCATGTTAGGTAGCCGGTTTGCCTAATTAACCTGAGACTTCTTTCAAGAGAGATGTTTTTAAGGGAAGTGGTTCCATTGAACCATCAAATCCTATTGTGTAATTGTCCAAAGGGAATTAATACACAACCAAAATCATTCTAAATTTATAACAGGCACTAAGTGGTTCAAGGGTCAATATCACTAAAAAGTGCTAGCCTCCGGCAGTTTCTTCATGGAAAACTAAGGGCCTGATTCTGCTCTCATTGAGGTCAATGGAAGACTGTCATCAATTCTAAACTGGACTGAGCTTCCTACTGTCTTTAAAGTGAGCTAACAAATAAAAGTTACCGCCCATACAGGTATTTATATGGCCTTCATTATTGTAATATCTGGGCACATCATAATCATTAGTGGATTTTATTCTCCCAACTCCTATGTGAGCTATTATTCCCATTTTATAGATGAAGAATGAGATTAAGTGACTTTCATAAGGTCACACTTGAAATCTGTGACTGAGCCAGAAATTGGACCCAGATCTCTTGAATCCCAATCCAGTGCATGGTCCTTTGATCATCTTTCCTGTACAGTTTGGGACTCTAGCTCGGTAACTTATTTGATGAACATGTGCCAGCATGCTCAGACTTTTGAAGGGGACTAGCTCTTTGTATCACTGTCACATGGCCTCCATGGTCAGCTCAGGTTATGTTAGCACACTTCAAAAATGGATGTGCCCATAGAATCATACAATCACGGGACTGGAGTGGAAGGACCTCGAGAGGTCTTCTAGTCCTGTCCCCTGCACTAAGGCAGGATAAAAGCCATCTGTCTTCATTCAGCAGTTGACCCAGTGCTGGTTTCATAGAATCATAGAAGATTAGGTTGGAAGAAACCTCAGGAGGTCATCTAGTCTAACCCCCTGCTCAAAGCAGGACCAACCCCAACTAAATCAGTTTGTGAGTGGTGGAAGGAAATGGAGTGTCCTTGTGGCTTCATGTCCCCTGCTCTCTGAGAAAGTACAAGCTCTGAAGGAACTATTGATTTTTGAATAATACTTAGCTGTGACATTTCCATAACTCTTTACAGTTGTTCATTCTAACATAGCCCCTCATAAGGTTTGAATAAGTAGAGTGCTACCATAATAAGTCAACATTTACCAACAGATATCACTCACAGAGATAGGTAAAGGTAAATAATTTGTGTTCTTTCCATTACTCCCGAATGGTAACTGGGGCTGACTTTAATAGCAGCACTGTGGAGACAGTAAAGAGAGGTTAATGGCCTGACTTTCAGAAATGCTGAGCGCCTTCTCTGGGGAGAGCTGGAGATCAAAAACAAATGTGAATTGTGAGTTCTCAGCACTTCTCAGGCGGTAACTCACTTGTCCAAAGCCCAAGAGGGAGCCATTGTCAGAGCAGGGATTATTACTCAGGAGTTCCTGACACCAGTGACATTCTCAGGCCATTAGACAACACGTCTTGTTATGAGAACATGTTATACAGTATTCACAGTCAAGTGAATTGGACTCAATAGCCAGGGCCACTTTCAAGCCTCCACTACTAGATCCTATTTATCCCAACTGTAAATTATCAGGTAGCATTTTCTTAACAACACAAAGAAAACGTTGGTAAAATATATATAAAGAAATTCGGTGGAGGCAGAAATAGTAACAGATGCTGCCTTATTTTATCTCCAGAATAGGAAGCAAAATAAACATATTCTGCATCAACATACATAAGAAGAAGAGGCCAACATAAAACAATCCAGAGTCAGAACAAGCTCAGTTTGGAAGATTTGGAAGTAGATGCATTTTTTAATGCATGATTATGCATGAACACAAGCCAAAATTGACTACAAGTTTTGTAATTACCCCATCAATACAATGATGGAAAACGGGTGGAATGATACCTCTTTAAATAGCATCATGTACAAGCAAAATGACACGCAAACTACTACGGGTCAATTCTTGCACCTAGAGAAGGGGAGTTTCATTTTTCACTTCAATTACTTCACAGGTTATTTGAGTGTATTTAGCAACTACAAAAATAGACGACTAGCCCTCCATTTTCAGTGTAGCAAGTCTCTGAAAATAGCTTTAAGTGGATTAAACTACAAACATCACTAAACTGGGCCATGTCTAGTAGCTACCCACACCAAGTGAGGGTAGAAAAATAATACCAAAGGATCTACTGTATGAGTAGGAAATAAAATTAAATTCAACACGGAGAAATGTAGATGAAAGCATCTGGGGGATTATGTATCCCAAATACAATTTTTCAATGGGAGGCAGACACCCAGAAAGAAAGAAATGAACATTGTGAGTGACTGAGTGAGATGTGTGGTAAAGGCAACATGCACTGGTGCAAGGAGTGTTCCTTTGGCTGTAGCTTTGTGTGGTTTAGTGTACTGACAGGGTAATAAATGGGAAGCCATTTACTGTTCTATTTATATGGTGGTTTTCAAGGAGAACAGGGGTTTTGTGGCAGCCCTACACCTTGAAGGATTGCTTGACTCTTTCGTAGTGCAATTATGAAAAGCTGCATACAGAGTAGTGATATTCTATTTCTCACACCCAAACCTTCATCAGAATCCTGCTGATAACTGATTTAGTCTTTCAGGCATCAGAACTAAACCTTGTCAGAACCGTGGCTTCAACAAAGCAAAGCTGAAATCAATAATCCCTGAACAGAGGTCAATAGTTTCTTTTGAGTAAATTCACACTGACTTACATTTTTCACTCAACAAACATCTGTCAAAATACTAACCTGCTAGGCCAGATTGTTCCCTCCCACATTAAAACCTCAGGGAGGGGACTGGGAATCTTAGTCAGAAAATCCTTGTGGAGATTATTACAAATGATCCTGTCGGTCCCCACCCCCATGGAAAAGCTATTCCTACCCCCAGCAGAATCACCTTGTTCTGTGGGAGACCCATGGAGATCTTATATCCCCGCATTGGTTCTGTTCTCCACCTCCCTCACCAGGTAAATCAGGTTGAGTGTTGGTCATTTCTTGGATGAGACACCTTTAAGGGAACATGCAAGTGCTGCAGGAGGTGGTGGTGGTGGTGGTGACTTGATAGGTCGCACTCATTCCTTTGAGTCAGTATTGAAGCACTGCCCTGGCATGATGCTCGGAGTTACTGTGCTGCTGTTTTCTGGAGGAGATCTAAAACCGAGTTCCGAACCACTTCAGAAATTAAAGATCTCAAAGCACTTTACATGTTAACTCTGACACCCTGGCAAATTCAGATTCAGATGATAATATTCTACCTACTTAACTTCCCTATCTAATTTCAGTTGGATGTGGTTGGTATTCCTTGATTCTTCTTAGATCTCGAATTAGAGATAAGATGCTGTTGGTATGCTCCAGCAATTCTCAACAATTGGTGAACATTAAAAAAAAAAATGCAGCAATGAAAACTTTGGAAGTGTCATAGCCTTCTTTAGCCCTCGCCCAAATGCAGTACTGCTTCTGGTCTTAATAGGTCGCGCAATAAGAACATAATGTTGCTGTGTGCAGTCAAACTGTGTCTGCCTTCCACCCTAGAGGTGGCTACAGTTCAGTGATGAGTGACATACTCCCTATCTAACATTCATCTACCTTGCAGAGGTCTTATGAAGCATAATTAGTTAATATTGATGAAGAACTTTGATACGTACAGATGAAAAACATATTAGAAGTGAAAACTGTGCCATCATTCGTTAGGAACAGCAATAGGAGTGTCACTATAATTATTATTACTAGTAGTAAAAATAATGTGGTAGCACCTAAGAATTCCAGTCATGGACAGGACCCCATTGTGCTAAGCACTATACAAACACAGAACAAAAAGATGGCTCCTCCCCAAAATGGCAGCATGCAGAGTATAAACTCTGCACTCCCAGCTAGCATGGGTATAAATAGCATTGCAGATGGTGAGGTGTGGTATAGATGAGTAGAGCAGAGTGCCCTACATACCTGAAGCCCCAGGGTATATACCATACACAGCTCTCTACATGCCCAAGCAGCATCTCCCATGTCTACACTGCTATTTTTAACAGTGTACTGTCTTGCTGCTTTCCCACTGCCAGAGCCTTTTCCGATGCAGTGAAAGGCTCCGGCAGCAAAGCAGTGACAAGTATGGATGCAGCTTGCCTTTTGCTATGGCATGTAGCTACGCATGTAGTGCCTTGTCTTCTACATGCTGCCATAAGTATAGACACAGCCTCAGTAAATTATGATTTTTCGTAGGAGACATGTGAGAGCAAGCAGGACCCCACTTTGACTGGTATGAAATAAACCTGAGATTTTTTTTTTGCCACCAATATGGTAAATTAATCAAATAAGCTTGTCATTAATTTATTAATCACTTCAGTAATCCAGCCTCAGACTCACTTCTGTAACATGATGTAATAATATAGCATTTTCTAGTAATTTTATAAGGAGATGGATATTAAACCAGGAATATGTGACAGCCACAAGAAATCCAGATCATCCTACCTAAGTTTCTGTAATATTAATTTAACAAGCCTGATGAAATTACAGCCTGTCTTTAAACAATAAAGTGTAATATTTAAATCCATTTTTAATTTTAAAAAAAATCTATTCTGGTGAAGAAAACATTTTGGTTTTGCCTTCACTGACTTTGGCTTTGAAATCTGGATAGGAATGTTGACATAAATTTCAAGAGATACAAAGCAATTTCAGATTCACATGCTGCACACATTCAACACTTGGATGTAATTACCTCCAGGATTGCAGCAGACATCCCCTCTGAAATAGAGCTGTTCACCACTGCAAAGCATCTTTTCACAGCAGCGTGAAGATCATCTTGAGGTATCTCCTGTAACAAATGTACCCCAGGTGTCCTAGAAGTAAAGTGTGCAAAATTAGGACAATTCCTACTGCATGCACTATGGACTTTTCCCCTGAATTTAGGGTAGCTGGGTATAGCCTAGAGGTTAAAACAACCCTGGCAGTCAGGAATCATGGTTCTGATTGCACTAAGTATCAGTACGTCTGCAGTGCAATTGGAGATGATGGCAGCTCATGTAGGCATACCCACACTAGCTTTAATCTAATTAGCCTGAGTACCACTTACAGCAAACTGGCACCACATAGGTTAGTGTCACAAGTACATATGCAGGGGGACTGGGTGGGCTTGTACCGCCCGCACTGAAGCCCATGCTGCTGCATCTTCATTGCTAATTTTAGCTGTGCTAACTAGATTAAAGCTAGCAGGGGTAGACCTATCCAAACTGCAATCACACGTTTGATTGCACTGCCGACATCCCCAATGACTTGCCCCTGGGAACAACAAGAGAGGTATAATAGTCATAATTAATATTACTAGATCCTTTGATAAAAGATTCCGTATGCACAATGTATTATTATTACTAGCATTTGTGCAGTGCTCTCCACCTGTACTGAATATTCTGTTTAGCTATTATTTGTATCACAGTAGTGCCTAGAGACCTCAGCTGAGACTGGGGCCTTAACAGCTTACAGGACAGAAGAGGAATGGGGGGGGGGGCGGCAGGGGAAGTGACGTGCAGAAGCTCATGCAGCAGGTCAATAACAGAGCTACGACTCGAACCCTCATTTTTTTTGGATCCCAGTCCAGACCCTCTCTGCCAGACCATACTGCCAAATGCCACCATTCTAATGTTGTAGCATTTTACACTCAGTTTGCGCAGCTGTAAATGACTATATAACTGCATGACCGTGGAGAAGTAGCGCTGTAACTTAAAATAACATCAGTGAAAAGCCCAGAAGAGACCCTTTGAGTTATCCACTCAATAAGGACCAGGAAGAAATTTTCTCTTGCAACAGAATATTACAGAGAACATACACTGTGCTGATTCTTAACTGTCCATCTGGCATTGGCTACCAGAGTGAGGAAACTGCTCTCTTGTTCTGTTCCAGCCAGGCGATTCTTATGTACTGCAGAAGAAATCTCTGTTTTCTAAAATGTATACGCTTCAATCAGAAAACACTTAAACTAGAGACAGAAAAGAGCTAACACCGGTTATCTTGTCCACCCACCGACAGCATGTAAGATCTTGCAGAAACAAGGGGGAAGAGTGGAATGAGACTATCCACATGAATTATAAAGGGAAGAAATCTACTTCTAAATCAGATACGAGTTAACACAAAACAACGTACAGAGTTCTACTTAACTGTTGGAAAAGTCAAACGTGCAATATTTTATATGTGAGCCTTATACACAAACTACCAGAACTAGTTTGTTAGACTTGCAGACAACTGTGCACATAAGGTACAAGGATTTGCCCGCACACACAGATATAGACAATAAAAGGCTAGAATTACTCCCTGCTTCTTTTTAAACTGATAAGGAGCATACCTGCTTACCTATTAACTTTTTCATTGACTTCACTTGTAAACTGTGTATCAACCTATAAAGAAACACATACACCATTACATGTCTCTATTTAGCAATACAACATACAAACTAAACTTCTAAAAGGAAAATACAAATTTCCACGGTTCAGTATTGACAAAAATGTGCTATAAGTTTAAGATGGAAGTCAGATTTTAAAATCATGCTATAGAAAACCATATTTGGTAGATTCATGTTTAGTTCTTGAGAAGAAGGACGGTCTTATGATTCAGGCACTGGGCTGGGACTCAGGAGATCTGGGTTCTATTTTCAGCTTGGGCATAGATCTCTTTGTAACCTTGAGCAAGCCACTTAATTGCTCTGGTCCTCAATTCCTCAACTGTAAAATGGGGATGATGATATTTCCTTTCTCCCACCCTTTGTTCCTCTTGCCTATATAGACTGGAAGCTCTTTGGTGCAGGGACTTACTCTTGTTATGTGTTTGTACATCGCCTGAGACTATGGGGCCTTGATTTCAGGATGGTCCTCTAGAGCTACTGCAATACAAAATATTAATAACTATGGGATCGTTTGCCACCTTGTAATCTAGCCTTAGTAGGGAACAGGGCACCTATAAGCTGCCCCGCTGAACGGGAACTGAAATTTGGAGGCGGGTAGTGGCCCAGCAGTAGCCCTTTGTTCAGGATCTGACCATTTGAATTACATATGAGGGAAAGTAAAGTGACTTCTTGGACCCCCACCACCCCTTGCTCACAACTGAGCCCTGCACTATCAAACACATTTAAAGCATTAGTAGAAGAATCTGTTTGAAAACTAATGTAAAAATCTAAAATGTGTAACTATCATGGGAAGAATGTTCTAGATTTATTCAAACACTTCTGTAAAGGTGGGAAATTAAGCAGGCTTATTTACAAAGACTAACAAAATCTGTTGTTTTCATTTAGTAGGTTGAAAAAAAACCTATAAATAGGCATTTGGAAATCATGACCAGATGAACAAGAAGAACAGAAGTTGGGTAGTTGTTTTGTTTTTGTTTTTTGGTTAAACATTAAGTTGATTAAGTTGATTTATGAGACTGTGCAAAACACAGCATTTTAAAGCGGCGTGAGGACAGTAGGGTTTAATTTTTGCCCCCATGTTAATGTATTAGCTCTCTTTTTAGAATGAGCACATAATGCATAATTATTATGAAGGACACTCTACAGATGAGCTTGTCAGATAAATACTGTACTTTGCTGCGTAGAACAGAGTATGAAACACATACCTAAAGCATTTTAGAAAACACTTTTTGTTCTGGAAAAGTAATTCTATTGGTAGTGATTACAATATAAGCAGCACTCTAATACTTGTGTGTGCACAGACATCCAACGCCAATCCCCATAGAGCTAAGTTTAAGTTGCATGTGAGCAACATGACTGATATGATGTTGGAAACGCACACAAAAATGTTAGTGCTTTCTGAGACAATCAGTTGTGCAGGATGCCTAGAAACCTCGTATCCGCAGCATTCAAGTTATTGGTCTCAGAAAGTTACTTCCAGTGCAAAAGATCTCCATGGTCCGATTCCTCGTACAGCCAAAAGAGTTCTTCTTGTAACATTTTATCTTGTGTTCCCTAACGATGCACCAGGTAAGAGTTGTCATCAGTCACCCAGTGCATTTTATTAAACAACTCTCCCTTGCAAAAAAAACCCACCCCAAAGCTGTTGAGGATTTCACATCTCATGAGATATCACTGAGCTTGTGTTGTATGAACAGTTTCTATAAGTGTAGATGAGGCAAAATGAAAATTCTGTGGATGCAGAGAGTGTAAGAAACCACATCTAACAGGCTGAGTTAGGCTATTAGGGAGATACTAGTTTGCTGACAGGCAAGGATCATCTCTACGACATGTTCGACACTGTGGAAACAGCCATAGATCAAACATTTCACAACGATGAAGATGTCTTTGCTTCAGCGCAGGGACTAGCATGATCAAAATCCAGAGGGACTGTCTGCAAACACACTGTATTAAACACTTGCCTTTAAAAATGAACTTAAACTAAAGAAATGGTCCAGAATGTTTTGATGATAAGACTACTGCTATTGTCTAAACCAGGGGTAGTCAGTAGGCGGACCGTGGGCCAAATCCCGAACGCCACATGCTTTTGAATGGACCCCATTATTATCATCATTATTGTTATTTTTATATTATTTTCTCTGGAGTCTGAACGTGACTATACCTTGACAAAAAAAAATTCACTATCCCTGGTCTAAACTTTGTAGAAAGCAGAGCTCATAGTACATTTGCAGTCTGTCAACATGTTGCCCTGTGTGCTATGCCTGCAAGTTCAATAAGACCAGTGTTTTGCTCAGAGTATAGGGAATGTGAGTGACAGTGAAAGAAGACTTCCTTAGCTTCACCGCTGTGGGTGACCTCATATTCAAATATGATCAATTACTGAGCAGGCTTGTACAACTAGGTTTTAATGGTCAGTAGCTTTAAGCCAAGCTCTGGAAAGAACTCGAAATACAAATGTTGGCTTTAAAGGAGCTCTGTCTGTCTGTAATGAGTAGCTACAAGAAATTTACAACAACTTCATCAACCACAAACTGAATCCTGTGATTCTAGATTCTTCTTCCAGGACATAGCTAACAATTGATACACCTCTACCCCGATATAATGCGTCCTCATATAACACAAATTCAAATATAACGCGGTAAAGCAGCGCTCCAGGGGGCTGCACGCTCTGGCAGATCAAAGCAAATTCGATATAACACGGTTTCACCTATAACGCGGTAAGATTTTTTGGCTCCCGAGGACAGCGTTATATCAGGGTAGAGGTGTATTTCTTAATGTCTTCTGATGGATCTACACCACTACAGCTTCTTCCTTCCTTCCTTAAGACAGCTTTGCCAGCAGCTGGAGAAAAAAACAGCTGGAAGCTGTGTGAGGTGAGTGAGATGAAGAGACTATTATTAACTATTAATTATTTGTATTACTGAGCACTTTGGAGCCCTAATAACCTGGGAACCATAGTCCTGTGCTAGGTGCTGTACAAACACAACAAAGAGACAGTCCCAGGCTGTCTGTATTACCTACAATAAGGGGGAACACCCATTGAATCATTTACAATAAACAAAATAACAATATAAGCCTAAAACCTATAACAAGGTAAAAAGAAGGTTGTGGATAAACAATGTGTGAACAAACCATGCTCTACAAAAATGGTTCCTGCAAAGTAACCGACTCCAAAAGCATGCAATTCAATGTACAGTTAAAAATGCACATGTTGTTAGTGTTGGTAAAAATGCAATTAAGAAAAAGTTTTGCTGTGTAACTTTGGATGAATGGTACGTCCTATACCCATCCCATATGCTTAAGTCTAATCAACTCAGTGTAGCTTTGCAGTATGCAGAATAAAGGAACCTAAGTGATGAAACTAAAGTCAAACTGAGTTCTTAGGGAACTGAGTGGAAGAAGTCTCAGAGGAACCCCAACATACTTCCCTCAAGTATTAACAATATGATAATATTGATATTACAATAAACATTGAATTAGTCAATCAAGGAATCGATAATACTACAACTTAAAATCGAACAACAACAAAAAGTATAATTTAAGACCAACAATTGGTCAAGTTATTACATGAGCACAACCAGTAATCAAACCACAAAGTTAACATAACACCAATGACTAAATGCCTTATTTAATTTGCCTGCTTCTACGAGTTTTACTTAGCAGCTTATCCTTTCGCTTGTGGAAAGAATGGGTTAAGGTATACATTTTTATGTATCCCAGGTGATTTACCAATCTATGGTAAGATTTACTACAAACCTAGGTTAGTTGATACCCAATGGTAGCTTACACTATGGGCTTATATGCATGTGCTATTACTATTAGTGGTCACAAACACATATATACACATCCATGCTTAAAAAAGGGTAGGTTAGCTCTTTCTTAGTAGACATCCCTGCACAGGTGTTGAAATGTCCTGTTAAAGAGACAAAAATAATAAAGTTACTTAGAAAAAGAAAAAGTATCAATTCTTTAGCTTGCTTGTCTTGCTGAGCTTCAGAGTCAGTCAGGAACTGCAGTTTGGGCAACCAGACAATGTCTTCTGGCTCAGGTACTGTCATGCTAGCAGGTGTTGCTTTCGGGTCAGCTGGCTGGTTTGAGATGTCTTTGTTTCTGCTTTCTTTAGTAGGGGAAGTTGCAGTATCAGCCCTTGAGTTATTGTTGTAGGGCCTTGGAGAGGAGCACACTTCCTCCTCAGTTACCTCATCTTGTATGGCTGGTGTGATCCCAGGACCGCCTCTGTGCTCTTCTGATCAGATCAGGGAACCACAGGTCTCCCACCTCAACTGCACGGTCTAGTTTCAATTAGGCAATGTCATTCTGACTCTTGGACCGCTTTTGAGGTTCTCTTTTCAGGATACATTTTCTTAGACACCTCCAGGAGTCTGTTTTCCCCAAATAAGTTACATTGAGTGAATAACAGGAGAAGATTACTCTGTCAAGATGATCTCGACCCCTTGAGTTTAGGTAAACAGCTGAAACTCTTCAATGGCCTCTTGTCCACTGGGGTCTGTTATCTTCCTGGTCATCACTTATGGCCCATTGTCCTTTAACTTACAAAAGTAGTTCCTTACCCATTCACACACCTCATGCTTACACTTCCCCAGATGGACACGGTCCCATAAATAAGAATTTTCAGAAGTGTCACAACATCTGGGATACTGGGTGAGAGGTTATTTCACTCTATCCAGGCTCAAAGTCAAGCTGCTTCAAAGCTACTTATTTAAATCCATTAACATAAACTTATTAAAAACATAACCACATAAAGTTCATACTCAATGTCCACAAGAGTATAGGACTATATGTCCTACAAATGCATTCTATGCAAATGCCATCTTGATTTCTGGGACTACTTTTGGTGTGCATCTGAGAGCTTATTTGCCATGTCAGTTGCAGGATGTTTTAAACAAAGAGTAAATATTGAAAGAGTTGACTCTATAGAAGACTGACTCAGCTGCTAAGAGAGAGGGGATATAAAAATCTACAGTTATTTGAGGT